AGCAGACTTCCGCAGAGCAGGGAGCCTGATGTGGGGCTTGATCCCACACCCCTGGGATCATGACCTGAGCTGAAGGCAACCGCCCAACCGACTGAGCCACCCAGGCGCCCCTGGTCTCAATATTTCAAGTCTGGCCTCTAGGTGTGCATTGCTGGGGGAACTGGAATGTAAATAAATCTGACTTCACCTTGAAAAATCTCTGCCCCTCCCACTTATTTTTCCTTTGGATGCCTCAGAAAAAAGCAGAAGCAGATGGCTCTGTGGGCCATTTTTCTGCACGTGGCACCTGCAGATCCGGCCCGAGGCTCGTGCTGGGGAGGGGCGCTGGCCCGGGGTGGGGGGATTTGTCATTCGGCATCTGCATCTGCTTTCTTTAGGGACGACCCCTCGTGAATGGCGGATGGCCCCGCCCATTGTCAGGCAGACGCGCGGGACAACCACAGCAGTGCCACCTCATGGCTCCCTCTCCACCCGAGTCCCCTCCGCTGCGCGCAGCCAGAACAGCCTTGCTGAGGGTCTCTGAGCGAGCTGGGCAGCCCCGTCGGTGCTCAGAGCTGCAGGCAGTCCTCACGGAGCCTGCAGGGGCCCTGCGGGCCTGGCACGAAAGAGGTTGCACCCGTATGGTCCTCATCCTCACGGTTCCCAGGGCCCAAGCTCACTTTTCATTCCTTCAAAAGCCCTCTTCAGCTCAACACAGACTTCCACAGATGGCTCAGGGTCATCTCAGAAACATGTGTGGGTCAGGCGGGGACTGCTCCTGCAGGCCCAGAAGTCACTTCACACACAAGGTTGGTACTAAAAATACCTTACTTAAGGCAATAGTAGGAGAATGTGTCTCAGAGAGCCTTCTTCCCCACCATCCTGTAGGCTATACGGGGCTTTCAGGTTATAAGGTGCTCCCTCCTCCAGTCTGAAGCAGTCCTGCGAGTGTGAGCCCGGGGGGAAGGTCAGGCCCCGGACTGACGGCGCACACATGGAAGCGACCGTCAGCTGTGGCCAGTCAGCCTGGCATCATGCACTGTCTGCTTTTACCAGCAGCCTACTGGATATCTCCAAGGACACCATCACTCACCCGTATTACTTGCTCATTTCTATAGCAAGCTGTTCACTTGTGTTAATTATCTACAGTTTTCTTCAGCTCTAATCAAGGAATGAATTGAAGTATTTTAGTGCCTTCATTAATTTCACACCTTTTCTCCTCTATATGATGGCTTGCTCATGTTTCTTCTAGAATAAGTAAAAGATTCTTTTCAATTATTCCAGTGAAGTGATCTGCTCCTGCTTTTCTGGTTACCAGGGTCACACCAGCTCAGGTTAGCAAGACACATGCCCACTCATACCATTTGATGGATGTCTACAGAATGACGGCCAGGTGTGGCCAGGTGGTGGAGGAGCCTGCCCCAGGAGCATCCACTCTGGGGAAGGGGAGACAGCATAGGTGCATGTCAGGGTCTGCTTAGGATGCTATGGAGTCAGCAGGGGCACCATCCACGCTCAGAAAGCCACGTAAGTCCCCCTGTAGGAGGTGGCAGCTGAGCTGGGGAGGTGTGAGCCAATGCAGGGTTGCAGATGAGGCTGACTATGGGTGCACGTGCTCAGAGGGGGAGAACAGGGAGTGTCTGGGGAAATGTCATGAAGCCATGGAGTGGCCAGCCCTTCACCCAGGACTTCCAGTCTGCAGGCAGCCCCACTCCCTGTGCCCCACCCTCCCGGGCTTTCTTGGCTCCCACGAAGAGACTCCCAGACCTCGCAGGTGGCATGCAAGTAGTCACACTCCAGGAGGCTCTTAGTTTCCCCCCAGGGATAAACTGTACCCATCTGTCTGTGGAAGTTTCCTTCCCAGATGGCAAGCTGCGCTCAGGTCCCTGAGTGAACCCACAGCTCTGCCCGCCCTTGGCTCACAGGTACGCAGACCTGCAGGCATTGGGACAAACGGGGAGCAGCAGTCTGGCTTGTGTCGGCCCCCCCAACACTGTTTCTGCTCCTCCTCCAGCATGAGAGAGTCCTCAGCAGCGCGTCCAAGAGGCTGGGCCAGACCGGGGTGAGACTCTGGAGCTGGTTCAGCCCTCTCCCTCGCCTGGCCCTCCGCTCTGCCCGCCCCTTTGGTCCTCATCCCATCTGGCTCTGAGATGCCTGCGGAGGAGAGGAGGTGAGAATTCAGCCCCCAGCCTGAGCGGTGGCCTACTCAGAAGTGTACTGGAACGCCGTAGCCCTTCCAGATGGGCCTTCCCTGACCCGTTTCTGTCCCTGGGAGGCATGGCGGGTCATGAAGATGAAGGGCAGTGAGCCCAATAGCCAGAGGTGGACTTGGGGTGGCTTCCCAACACTGCAGAAGTTAGCAGGGAGGGCACGGACTCTGCAGATCTGAAGACCAGCAGCCACCTCCATGCACTGGGTGGGCAAACTGAGACCCCCCTTTCTGTGTTTCAGGGCTACCAGGTCCCTAGGAAGCCCCTGCCAGCAGACACCTTTATACGCTTGGAGAAGGATGTAAGAACATCCTGCTACAGAAGGCGGACCTGAGGGGTCTGGCCTTTTAATCATGTGGGCTTGCCACCCAGGCACAGGACCTGAGCCGTGGCGGTGAAACCCGCGGACTATGAGGATGACTGAATGAGGGCCTGTGGGCGGGACCGCAGCACTGACTGACCTCAGCCCAGCACTGTGGGGCGCTCCCCGAGGCCCCGGGGTCACTCCTATTTGCAGACTCCTGGCTCACAGCAGCACGCTTGTTGCTGCAGCTGTTTCTGGGAAGGCAGCACTTCTTATGTTCAAGCTCAAACTTCTGAAAGTGACTTTTGTAGGACAGTCAGATAAAGAGCAACCATACTCCCCCCACAGACACTTGTCACCGGCACACGTGGGACAGCTAACTTGTTGGAGCTAAAGAGGATGGGCAAGTGGTCAGGCTAGTCCCCTGCTTGATGGGCTGATGAAGTCAGCCTCATCTTCTCCTCCCTGGGAACAAAATAAAAAATGTGATTTCAAAGGTCATGCTCTCAAAATGGATCATGTGGAATGCTGTACATGGTGTCCCCCGCCCTGGGGCTTGTTACACGGCAGAAACAGCCACAGAGAGCACACGTTTAACTCTCAACAGCCAGTCCCGGTTACGCTGGCCACGACTCATCTGCTGCTCAGATGGCCACTGTCACCAGTAGTCACATGCCTGCCAAAATACTTATCTTTTCAGTGACATTATCTGACACATAAGTCTCCCTTCTGTTACTCAAATGAAAATCTCCACCCAAATGGGGGTTCCGTGATCTGGGGAGAGGCAGATAAGGAGGGGGCAGAGGTCTGGGAACTACAGTGGCCTCCTCACGTCCCAGGGCAGAGCAGGGACAGGAGAAAGAGGTCATTCCATACTCTATACCGAATTAAAGAGCCTCCACAACATGGAAGTTCTGGGCATGGTTGAGGCCTCCAGTATGTATTCATAATACTCTTGGACTGTATTAATAACCTTCGGGTCTCAAAGACAGAGTAGCCCTCTTGGTGGCTGACCTGATGTGTAAGAGCTGGAGGCTTTGGACTGATACCAGAAGCCCTTTGCACCCAGGATGGGGAAGGCTTTCGCCATCAGAACAAGGAAAAAGTTACTGAGAGCCTGTGTGCCAGGCATTCATTTGGGGGGACCCCAAAATGAAACACCTGGGCCTTGTCTTTGAAGAGCTCACTCTGTCCTGCCTCTCATTTGGGCAACCAAAATAGTGCCTAATGGTCTCCTGTGGATGCTGGTCTACTTCCTCAGGGATAGGGTCCTGCATCCAGTTCTTCAAGAAGAGCAAGGCTATCACTACCCATCCTTCCCTGTGTTGCTCCTTGGCCCCCAGGTTTGAGTGGAAGCCTTTGGAGCTTATCAGGACACCAGGTCAGAAGAGAGCATCTTCTGTCCAGTGTTGGTGAAAACTTGAATGGCAGCCTAAAGACACCTAAAGGTAGCTTACTAATCTATATTCCCTTCAGGAAGCTAGGTAAAAAATAGGCAAGTCTTAATTTCCTCTTGTTTAGTTGGTTGTAGAAATAATGCAATCACAGCAGTGGGCAGATAAAGAAAGATGCTCAGGGATTTCCTATCTGCCACCAAATAAAGACAAACATTTCAGCTGGGTGTAAAAAGGTAGGTGAAAATTTGCTGGTATATTTAAGCTTCTAGGAAACCTTCTAAAGCTTGGCAACTTGCTTTTTCAAAAGGAATTTTTTTTTTTCCCGTTTGCTTTTGTTTTTCGCTTGGAATTTCTGTTCTGCAACAGTGCAGGTTCTAAGTGTCCCTTTCACCTGCACTAAAGCTGTGGAACGTTCTACTTTGCCATATTGTTTGCCAAATTCATATTCTCCACCTCAAAACATTCATTCAAGTAACTGAGCTCATTGCCAAATAAAAGAGTAGAAGGCAGTCTAATTTTTCAGAACACCATTTAAATGGAGAATTTTTAAACTGCACGTAGCTCTTAAGAGCTGTAATTTAACAAGAGCAAATTTTCTAAACAAGATAAGCATCTCGCTTCCTGGCAATGATTCATCTGGTTATATTTGGGGATGATACGCAGCTGCTATGATATAAGCTGCCATAACTGTAGGCCAGTCGTGGCTCTGAAACAGGGAGCTACTTCTGAGCACTTGGTAACTAGCTACTGTCCCAGGCTGGCGAGACCGCCCGCCGCTCTGGCCCCCGTGCCTCCCCACCTCCTCACGGGCCTCTAGGATCTTCTCTGGGCTATGGCTGGTCTGCTCCTGACTGGCCAGCACCTGTGCCACCAAATATTTGGAATATTTTCCCTTCTTACAAATGTCCTGGGGACAGTGACGTTGAAAGAAGCTGCTAGACTTTTGTTTTCCACACTCTCTTGTCAGCAGTATTAGTGGATGCACATAACTAAACTGACTCGTTGGTAACAAATCAGGAAATCCTACAGGAACCATACGTGTATATGCTAGCAGAGGTGGGAGGGAGGTGCCGAAGGCACAGGACCCCAGAAACATAAATGGCAGCTCACACGTTGAGGGGCAGCTGGACTTTGGGAGCTGTGCTTTGCTGTTCAGTTGCTGGGGCGGGTCCGGCCGAGGAAGAGGAGTCCTGGAAACAGACAAGAGGAGACAGGAGTGAGTCGACAGGAGGCCCCTGCCCCAGAGAAGAGAAAGGCAACGTCAGGCTGGAGTCCAGAGGCACCTGTTTTCTCCTCACCGGCCTCATCTTCCAGCCTTCAAAACCCTCAGGTCTCACCTGCCTGGGTTGTTTGTTAATAACATTTTTTTTTCAGCCCGTTGGAGGAGCTTGGTGGCCACGGACACCTGTCCTGAAGCAGCTTCCAAGTGCCCCCCAGGAACGGCTCAGATAGTCACTCTTCGGGCCTGGGTCTGGGTTGGTCAGCATCACACTGTGTTTAACATAGAAGAAGGCAGTGTGGGGAGACCTGTTTTTATTCTTAGAACTTGAATTAATTATTCTTGCATTTGTCAAAGAAGACCCAGACAAAACCTTTCATGTGACAAAGCACAAGCTTATGTAAGGGCTGCATTTCCAGGAGCTGAAGATTAACCCCTAAGGAAAACTGGTCCTGTAGCAGTGACTGAGGGGCAGGTGCTGGAGAGCAAGCATTATGCAGGGAGACTGCTGGAGGAGTGGTCTACTTGGAGGTGCTTCCCACTAAGCCTGTGGTGCATGTTAAACTGGCCAAGGGAAGTGGTCAAGGGCCAAGCAGAGGGATCTGGGCCCCACGATGATCTCACTGAGGTGATTTTTGCACAGGGAATCCTGTAGACCCAGCCGTAAGGGGCGACACTGTCCCCAGCCCCTCACCACCTGCCTTGCCTGTCCTGCCCCAGCCCTCCCCAGGGCAGCACCCTTCTTCTTGGGCAGAGGTATTTTATGCCACAGTGAGTTGAACTATGCCCTCCCCCCCCGCAAAGAGATGCCTAAGCCATAGTCCCTGATATCTGTGAAGGTGACCTTGTTTGGAATAAGAGTTTTTGCAGATAAGGTAGATATCCTGAGATGAGATCACCCTTGATTACAGTGGGCCCTAATTCTGGTGACAAGTGTCCTTCTAAGAGACAGAAGAGGAGAACAGAGACACCCAGAGGGGAAGAAAGGCCGTGCGAAGACAGAGGCTGAGACAGGTGTGATGCAAGGGATCCGGGCAGCCAGAAGCTGGGAGAGATTCTCCTTTGGTCTCCAGAAGCAACCAACCCTGCCAACACCTTGATTTCGGACTTCTGACCTAAGAACTGATAGAGAATAACTTCCTGGTGCTTTGAGCACCGCCCCCCCGTTTGTGGTACAGTTACAGCAGCCTCAGAGATGGGGATGTCTAGGGGTGTCTGGAGGAGGGTGGGATCCATACCCCTCAAAGCCAAGGGAGCCAGGGGTTTCCTTCCTTCCTCGAGGGTCTGTTTTAGGCTCCCCAACAAGGGACGGGACAGGGATCCTGGAGGGAACTGGATCCAGATGAGCAGGGAGCCAGGCAGGCTTGAGCAGAAGCCTCAGGAGCTGCTGGTGCCTTGGCAGAGGCAGGTGGGGGAGTGCGCTGCTGGGGGGCTTCCCATGGCTCTGACTAGCAAAGATGCACATGGCACCCCAGGTGGTCCTCAGGAGGGTGAAGGTCACCAGAAGCAGAAATCACAAAGATGGAATGAGAGATGCACCTGGCACGTGCCCCAGGCAGGCAGAACCACCCTACAACGCAAGTGACCATCACGTCCCTTTCTTGCTTGTGTGGAGGGTTGAGGGGGCCATTTCTCATCAACTCACTGACCAGTTCTGACCATGCTCAGCTGATGAGCTCTATGTGCTACCAGCAGCCCTTGCTAGGCAGTCAGCTTCCCTCCTCAACCAGACCAGGAAAGGTGCCAGAGACCACAGCACATCCACACCTCTGAGAAGTCAGAAAGTCTACTTCTTGTTCTTTGGACAATGGGATGCCTGGTAGAATGAGAATATGCAAGCAGGAGCGTAACATCCCTTGTGTCTCCCAGGCAACTCCAAGTCTGACAGGGGCTCCTATTCCTGGGAGAGAGAACTTTGATTTTCAAAGGCAGCCCCTTCATGGATTGTGTCCCTGTGGCTGATGCACAGGTGTCATGTTTCCAGAGTGCTGCTTGGGAGCTAGGCTGAACAGAGAGAGACTTCTTGCTTGCTCATCACGCCAGCCCTCTGCCAGAGGGAGATGGAGACCACCAAAGGCTCAGGATTGTTTCCCTTCAGGATAGTTGCCAGTGGAGTTCACCACAGCACCACAGACCTTCAGGCAGGGACCAGAGGGCCCTCCACGGGTGTGGCCACCTGGCTCCGGGACCCCCGGGATATGGAGGACCCACAGCTCTCCTTGAATGGCCATGGGAGAAAGGTTAGGGCCCTTCGTTCACTCCCTAGAACAGGCGTGGGGCAGAGTGGGTAGGCAGATGGTGGTGAGCAGACACCAGAGGAGGTCAGCAGATGTTAGTGAGCGACATCACAACTGGTGAGTTAATGGGAAATGCACCCCCTCGCCCCTCCATGCAGGGAAGACAGTGTGTGATGGGCAACCAAGTTGTAGGCCTGTTGTGCCTGGAAGGGGCCTGTTCTTGGTGCTCACTGACCTCTGCTGACAGCCTGACTGTCAGGACCGGCTCAGGGCACAAACACAGCCTCTGACCCCAGTGTGGGGCTCACACCGCAGGGGACAAGCTTTGCACCTGTCACGATAGAGGCAGGGCCATAAGAACATACCACAGGGACGTCGTGGGGCCGGGGCCGGAGAGGGCCTCTGTGAGCCACAGGCCGGCCTGTTAGGTGCGGGGCCGAGGGTCGGCCGGGTGAGGGAGGTGTAGAGGCCTGCCCGGCAAAAGCTGGGAGAAGTAAGCTCGGCGTGCTTGAAAAACTGGGAAGAGAGGAAAGGCTGGAGGAGGGACAAGGGGCAAGCACCCAAGGGCTGCGGAGCCAGGCAGTTCATGGCTCCCTGGGCCGCCATGCAGGTTCTGGTCTTTACCTTGAGGGCAGAGAGGCCCTGGAAAGTGGTGGGAGAAAGGCGGAGGTGAGACCAGACCCATGTCTTACAGGGGCACCACGACGTGGCAGAGCAACCGGCCCGAGCCACAGGCCCAGGGAAGCAAGTGTTTCCAAGGGGAAGCCGCGTCCTCAGCCACACTGACTGCTGCTAACCAAGGCCAAGGAAGCTGAAGGGCAGGAGGATCCCTTCAATACGGGGATGCGGGCACGCCCAGCATGCTTGCAGAGCGGGCGGTTGTCACTGTTGGATGACCAAGGTGGTTCATGCTCCCTGACCCCGCTTCCCAGGACACACAAATGACATGGGTCTGGTAGGACTCACATTCCCTGCAGCCGAAACCAAGAGGCGGATGCTTAACCAACTGAGCCACCCAGGCGCCTCCCTGCTTTTTAAAGGTTTTTCATCATTTTAATATCAAGTGACTATGGTTTTCTGATACATTTTCAAAGTAATATAAAAAGAATAATGGCTCAATTATTTGAGGTCTGTTTTAAGATCACACTGGTTGATGGTGATTCCATGCTTCCCTGGACTATACCCATGCCATCTTTGTGGCGATGCCAGGAGCGGACAAGAGAGGACCCTGGGGATGACCCTTCAGATCGGCCACCAGGCGACTGTTGGCAGCAGTACGTGGGCAGAGGGCAATCAGCTGGGCACCAGGAGCCACAGGGACACATGGTAACTGGCTTAGACGGAGGCCAAAGCCATGACCCTGCTTTCATCAGGATTCCTCCTGTCCAAATAAACTCTCCTGAAACAGCCAACCAGTCCAAACCACTGACCCAGTGTGTGCTCGGAGTCTTCTATGCCTGTAAGGCAGCCTGCCTGGGGGGCTCTACTCCCCAGTGTCCTTGAGCAGGTCAAGCCTCAATCCAGCAGGAGGCAACAATGTATGTGGCCAGGGGAGACAGAGAAGATTGATTTCCATCTGCCAGGCAGGGGTGGGGGGCGGGAGGCTGGCTGAGACCATGGGCTGGGCCCGAGCTTGTGGCATTAGGGCTCCAGACCCCATCTTCGCTGGCATCTGCCAACTCCCGGGGACCAAACATAGGACGCTCCATGTGGCAAAGTGTCAGGAGGCTCAGGGAGGACTAGGGGGTTGCCTGGGCACATGGAGCCACCTGAGACACAGGACTGCACCTAAATAAAGCCAGAGGGGAGGGGCCTTCTGACAGCTTTGCTGGAAACCTGGCCTCCCGTTGGAACTTGGTGTGTCTAATGCTAGAAAGCAAATATGTGAGACTATAGCATACCATTACTTGGAGTTGCAGAGGAGCCGCAGAGAGAGATCACACTTGTGAAAACGTTTTTCTCAAAGGTCAAGATGGAGAGTATCGAGGACTAATGCTCAACAGAGTGTGTGTTCCTGTCTTGCTCCTCTGTGCAATGCAATGCAGAGCCCAAGGCAACAGGCCTTTCAGGGCGTCTGCTGAGTAGTGGCTACGCCAGGCCGGGCTCTGTCCTTACGGACATAAAAACCAAAAAGTGTGACTCTCTGATCAAGATGGGGTTTCCATCCATCCTACTCTGAATCAGATCTTCATTTTTGTTACTATCAGTAGGAGCTGATAAGAAATGTTGCTGGGGCCAAGGGGTAGATGGGTGAACCCCGCTGACTGCTGAGCTGTGGACAACTGAGGACCACACACCCAGCAGAGCAGAATGTAACAGATGAGATCTTGGGGCCTCTTGAGGAGCCCCAAGAGGCAGCTGGGCTGCTGCTACCTGCTGGCAGGTATCACAGCAAGAAGGGGCTCTCCTTTAAGTGATTTTGATTAAAAATTCATGAGCACAGTGCATCCCACTGGGTTCCCTATCATCAGCATCCTGCCAGGGCCTGGGAGGCATGCTACACCCTTAAGAAATTGCTCCTAGAACACATGGGACAAGCGAAGTTTAGTTTGAGACCGATTTAATGCAACACAAGGGTGTCTTGTGCCTCTTGCCCTCCAGCTCTGACCACGCTGGATGGGGCTTTCTGAGCCTTGGGACTGAGGCTTCTTTCCTCCTAGCCAAGAGCCACATTGCTGATACTGCTTTGATTTTTAATGGCTTAATTTTAAATGATTCTGGGCCTTAAGGGATT